ATATTGTGTATGATTGGGTGCGTGTGTGTTTGGTTGAAGTAGATGCTGGTTGTTGGTGGAATATTTGTTGACTCATTTTGTGGAGTTCTGTATCACTATGGGGAATGGTTGGCGCGTTTGCATTTTGTGTCGTGCTACTGAATGCTAGTTGTTGCGCGTGTGGGTTTAGTTGTAGGCGGGAGTGCGTGAGGAGCAGTGTAGTTCAGTCAGTAGTTCAGTTCAATGGTGAGTGTGCGCGCGGTCGCCAGTTACAATGTGTGTCAGGATATGGTAGTGCAGCTAGCGTGGTGAGGAGTGGCGAAGGGCAGCATGAATGTGTTGGGTTGGTTTCAGGGGTTTGTGTAGAGCAGATGTTTGTTTGTGCGTGGACGTGGGTAATTGTAGTTGGGGCGATGGAGTAGGTGCAGCGCGTGTAGCACCGAGGCGGTGAAATGAGACCGTTTCTGTCTTGTATTGATTATGGCCTGCCAAAGTTGGCGGATTGTGTCTGGGGTATGTTACAGGTAGTAACAAAGAAGGAAACAGTGTGTTTAGCGATGAAGAGAGAATGCAGGGGAGATGCTACACTGCGTTATTCTCTGTGTGCGTAGATGATGGCAATTGGATATTGGTGTGATGGGTGGGAGTTTGGTACTTTTCCATGTGTTTTGGTGTGGGCGGGGTTGGCAACATGGCGGGCATGGCTATGTGTTTGTGTGAGGGAAGGTGGAGGACGCGACTATAGTGGAGTTGTGTATCACTATGCGAAATGGTAACTTGTTTTGCGTTTTGCGCCTTGTTGTTGAGTGGCAGTTGTCGTACGCGCGGGTTTCGTTGTAGAAGCAAGTCCGTTAGGAGCAATGCAGTTCCGTTGTGAATCTGTAGGCTTTCGTCAGCTACAGTGGGTGGAAGTATATATGATTGGGGTTAACGCGGTGTTACCTAGCGAAGGGGACAGCTTCTGCAGAGGAGATGGTTGTTGTCTGTGGACGGGGGTACTTGTAGTTGGGCCGATGGACTAAGTGCACCGCCTGTTGAGCCGAGGCCGTAGAGTGACACCTCTGCTGTGTTGAGCTGGTTATGGGATAACACAGGTGGCAGATTCTCTTAGGGTGTGTTTGCGTGTTTCACTAAGGAGGAAACAATCTGTTAAGCTGTGGACAAGGAATGCAATGGAGATGCGACACTGCGTTTCTGTCCGTGTGCGTCTAGAGTGTTGCAATTGGGTATTGTGTTGTTATGGGTGGGAGTTTGGAATTTGATACGTTTCTTTTTTTTAATGTGTAACTGGTCTGGGCGGCGTGCCAGGCATGGGTATGTGTGTGAAAGGGGTTGGGGAAACGCGCTACAAGGTTAGGTGGCTGGCATGTGCGTTTTGTTAAGGTGTCTTTTGATGTGGCATGCTTTCTGCAAGTGCTATCCGAGTTGAGGATATTTGCGAGGGAGGTAAGAGGAGTGCAGCATTGGGTTGGTGATGCGAAATTACCTCTGAGGCTAACGCGTTGCATATCGGTCAGGCAGTAGGTTTTTTATATGGCTCGTAAGCCTCTACGGGTGTGCTAGTTTGCAGTAATTGCTGGTTGTTGGTGGAATGTTTGTTGCCCAGCTACGTCTTTGGTGGAGTTACGTCTCATTTTGGGGAACGATATGCACTTTTGCGTGTTGTTTCGTGTTGTTGCATTGTAGTTGTTTGTGATTTGTGGGTGTGTTCGTTTTGTCATGTGCATGTTTTGAGGGGATGTGGTTAGTTGGGCGGTAGATGAGTGGGATGCTATATTAACGTGCTGAGCGGAAGGTAGGTTTGGGGCTTATGACCTGCAACTGGTGCTTTTCTCGGGTGTTGTGTTTACCGCGTGAAGCTATAGTTGGTCGCAGGGCATGTTGGTTGTAGGAGGATTGTTGGCTGCAAAGGTAGGTGTTGGAAGGTTGTGTGTCGCAGGGTGTGGGATGCTAGGGAGGTTAGTGTTTGTGTTGAGTTGTTGCGCTGTGTTTGTTGTGGGTGTGGGTGGTTTTATAGGAGCGCGTGCGTTAGACGGAGTGTAGTGGAATTGTGAGCGCGCGGAGGAACAGCTGGAAAATTGTGTGGGGATATGGGGAAGTGGGAGTTCATGTTCTCGAGTGGCGAAGAGCAGCGTTGGTGTGTTGGTTGATATTCGGAGTGTGTGAAGTGAGGGTCGCGTGAGGTTGTACATGGATGCTGGGGTTTTGTGTGACGGACGAGGATCAGTTGAGATGCGTGCAGCGGTGTGGTGGTTGAGTGAATAGCGTGTTCCGATGAGTTGGGTATGGCGTGCCACAGCACGGCAAGCGTGTTTGGTGGCGTTTGAAGTTCTTGCTAAACAGGAGATGGTGTGTTGGCGACTAGCAAGGAGCGTGATGCATATGCAGCAGTGCGGATGCGGGACATTAAAGGAGAGCGGTTTTGTGTTTGGTATTTGCCAGTATTTTGGAGTTTGACGATGTAGGAGGGCTAGGCAACTTGGGGAGCATGGGCGTTTTTGTGTGAGGGACGATGCAAATGTTGATTGCAAAAGCATTAGGAAGTGGTTTTAGATTGGATGCGCTTTTGTATGACATGGGGGTTGAGGCTAGTTTGGAGTGAGATTAGAGGAGTGATGTATTAGGTTGGTCAGCAGGAGGTAGTTGTGTGTGTTGCGAGGTACAGGGTGTGCCTATAGCACCAGGTGTGTGTGGGTAAGGTGTGGATACGGCTGTGGTTGGTCGAAGCACACGCGTGTTGTAGGCGGAATGTTTATTGCCCAGGTAGGTGTTGGATGGCGGTGTTTTGCAGTCTGCGGAATGTGAGGGAAGCTAGGTTTATGTGTTGTGTCGCTGAGCCGTGTCTACAGTGGGTGTGGATTGTTGCATGTGAGGAAATGCGTTATGAAGAGTGTAGTAGAATTGTGAGTACGCGGAAGAGCAGCTGTAAAATTGAGTGGGCATTTGTCTCGGTGGAATTTGGATGTTGTGGAGTTGCGAAGGGCAGGTGAGGGTGAGTTAGTTTATGTCACAAGTGCGTGTAGTGCAGCTTTGTGGGTTTGTACGTGAGTATGGGGGGTTGGTGTCGTGAACGGGCAGCCCTTTTTTGTTGCGTGTAGCGGGGAGGTAGTTGAGTGCGGAGTGTGTTGCGTTGTGTTGGGTATGGGATGAGAACTTTGTCGAAGAGTTTTTTCTGGAGTTTAAAATACGCACTAAGACGGAGCTAGTGCGTTTCGACGTTTATCCTGTAGGAGGGGTTACCAATATGGTTAGACTGGGCGTGTTTGTCTGGGGAAGGATGGAAAACAACACTATGCGGTTAGAGGGGTAGGTGTTGTGTTGTGTTGTGGTGTGTTTGGGTGTGGCATGTCTTGTTCATGTGTTGACGTGGTTGGGTGCAGCTGCACGGGAGGGTAGGGGAGTGGTGTATTGTGTTGGGTAGGGGAGTGGTGTATTGTGTTGGTGATTTGCGAGTAGGTGTGGGGCATACGCCTTGCAGCTTGCGCTAATAGTTGGAGGTGTGTATGGAGCGTGTGTGGATACGGGTGTGTTTGGTGAGAGTTTTGTGCATGGGTTGACGGGGTTGGGTGTAGCTGCACAGGAGTGTAGAAGCGTGGTGCATTGTGTCGTTCATAGGTGGGTAGTATGCGTGGGGCAAACGCGTTGCAGCTTGCGCATACAGTGGGCAGTGTGTATGGAGTGCGTGTGGATACGGGTGCGTGTGGTGGGAGTCAATACGCGTTGCTGAAAGACTGATTGCTGCCCGGGTAGTTGTTTGACGGATGTGTGTTGCGGTGTGTGGAGTGTTGGGGAAGGTGGTTATTTGTGTTGTGTTGTTGTGGAGCGTTTGTTGTGGGTGTGGGTTGTTGTATAGGAGGAAGTGTGTTAACAGCCTTGTGGTGCGTTAGTGCGTGGGGCGAAGATCACGTAGGTGGAGTTTCGTTTGGGTGCCTGCGGGTGTGGTGTGGGTGTTGCAGAGTTGAGAAGGTTAGCATGTGTCTGTTGGTTGATGTGCGGAGTATGCATATTGGATGAGGGGGTTTGTGTGTGGGTGTTGGTGTTTGTTGTAGTGTAGAGGGAGGAGGCAGCGTGCGCCGTGTAGCATTGTGATGGCTGAGTAAGGTGTGGGTTGTTGTATAGGAGGAAGTGGGTTAGAAGGAATGTGGTGCGTTAGTGCGTGGGGTGAAGATCACGTAGGTGGAGTTTCGTTTGGGTGCCTGCGAGCGTGGTGTGGGTGTTGCAGAGTTGAGAAGGTTAGCGTGGGTGTGCTGGTTGATGTGAGGTGTATGTTGATAGGAGGTGGAGTTGTGTGGGTTGGTGTTAGTGTTTGTTGTAGTGGAGAGGGAGGAGGCAGCATGCACGGCGTAGCAGTTAGGTGGCTGAGGAATGCCTGCCGTTGCACCGAATCCCCTGTTGCAGGGGATTGTGCGGGAAGATAGCCGGAGTTTTGTTGGGTGTTTTTAACGTTTGTGGCGCGTGGGGGAAAGCGTGCGCAGAGGACGGAGTGGGAAGAATATTTGCCAGAATGTATTACTCTGACAGTGTACGTTTTAGAGACATGAGAAGGTGTTTAGCATTGGATACCTTGTAAGTGTTCTACGATATAGCGTGTTTAGGCAACGTGGCTAGGATAAGTATGTTTGTGTGAAGGTAGTTGGGATACGACACTATAAGGTTGGCTGGGGATGATGCGTGATCGGTTTGGTTGCGTGTTGGTGTGGCATGTTTTGTGCATGGGTTCCGGGTGTTGATTCTGCTTGCGAGGGAGGTAAGAGGGGTTCAGCATTGGGGTGGCGATGGGACGGTGTCTTTTGGGCTAAGACGTTGGAATTCACGCAGGCCGTAGGTGTTGTATATTGTGTATGATTGGGTGCGTGTGTGTTTGGTTGAAGTAGATGCTGGTTGTTGGTGGAATATTTGTTGACTCATTTTGTGGAGTTCTGTATCTGATAC